CTGCTGTGTGGTGGATGGTATCAGTGATATTTCCATAGCGTCTCTTGGTCTTACACTGGGCTGTAGTGAGGAGAGTGTTTGGGTTGAAAACATCCCGTGGACTCAGGATTACTGTAAGCTGGAGCTCAGGTGACATATACGGCTCTAGGTGTGAAGCCATGAGGGCCCTCCATCGACCTGCACCACAGTAAAAGTATCATATGGGGCACTTAGACTGTTTTAGGAGACTTCAAAGCCAGCTATTCAACCTCTTAAAAGTTTCATATTTATCACTCAGTATTTGGATGACTCACATTCACTTTCAAGCAATACTTTTTAAATGGGCAATATATATATTTCATATACCATTATTGTTTTCATTGAACTGGAATTGCACACCAGTTAATTTATTTGTAGGTATTTTTATTCATTCAGTTATCATTATTCATTTAGTTATAACCTGAATATAAATACTAAAAAATCACCACCATTTTTTAAAATGAGCAATAATCCCTCAAAGAATTGTCAAGGTTTAGAAATATGGTGACTCAGTGAAAGCAGACTGGTATGTTCAAAAAGTCCCTCTTCGGAGCTGATTGTGTTTTGGGCGATTAGCTCAAAGCTCCTGACAATGCAAGACGCTGCTTTTGGCCCATGTGTTTACCTGTGAAATCAGATGGGAAGTCCGATATGGCTCTCTTGTTGCAGGGAGTGGATTTTGTCAGCTCCTCTATCTCCACTTCTCATCACTCACTTCCCCAAATGCACAGGGCTGGCTCTTTTAACAGAGCCTGAATGAACTCCTCACTGCAGTATCTCAGGAATCACATAAAGACAACCTTGTGCTCTGCAATTTCAGTGTGCAGCCTGGGCTCATAGGTGCTTGTGCATGTCTGAACCAGGAGGAAGAAACACAAGTATGGCTGACATAATCATGTGTGAGGAGATTTATGGTCCAAGAGATCAGGAAAAGAAGGGAAGGAAAACTAGAGAGTACATTCGGAATCTCCTCCCTCCGCATCCAAATTATTGTGTTTAGTTATGTCCACTTGTTTGGGAGAATTGTCGGAGAATGAAGGGACTTGAGTAATGAGAGCTTTGTGGATGTATGCTTTAACAACTCTTTTAAAGCAGATTTTCCCACCCGAATGCACTACCAGTCTGTCATTCCAAAAACAAGCTGCTATTGGCGACATACTATTTATGTTATTATTGTCTGTATCCTAATGGTAGATTGATCACATAGAAAACCCCATAAAGGACAAAGGTGCACTATGCAACTTTTTGGTTGGGGGTCTGTCACTGCTTGTTTCTATGTCATTGGTCTGCCTGGAATGTTCCACAATATAACATTAAACAGCTTTTGTTTGATTACAGATGGTTTTATAGCTTAAAAATACCTAGAAAAAGGGGGTTGCCTCCCCACAGATCTAACCTGAAACATTCCAGACAAAGCAATAACATCTCCATGAAGAGAAACATTTGATGGACCCTCCATCAGAAAAGTTACACAATGTACCTTTAAATGTTGCAAAACACGGTGTTAAAATATGTGTGCGCTGCAAATGAATTGCTGGATGACTGTTACTAATCTCACTTTGATGGAAAATATGCACTTGGTTGAAGTTGGAATCAAGCTCCTAACATTGTCATTAAAGCAAACTTGAAAACTTCTCTACTTTTCTCCATCACATGATAATTAGGCTACAGTCTGCTGGTTATGGTTCTACTTTTGATTCTTATTCACCTTGATGCCATTTTAAAAACTTTTACTAGACATTATATTTATCTACAATGGCACAACAATCAAACAGTAAACCAAATTTTTTATATACTAAGAAACGACAGTTAGACTGACAGGTGATCAGTTGGCCTATCAAGCGTGAAAATATTTTAAAATCTCATTATAATAAAATCTAAGACAAGATGTGTCTTGCCTAATATTGTTCTTAAAAGTCTCTCCAATTTTGGTGTTAATTACTTTCACGTAGACTAGAGCTGACCTGATGTTCGGGGTCACAAAACTGGATTAAATGTGAACTATGCAGCTTTTTTGGAGGAGGCTGTATGTCTGCCAACTACTTGTCTCCATGATGGTGTCTTTGCTTCTCTTGGAAGGTACCAGAGTATGACAGAGTTATGTGTATATGTACATATGTGTGTATATTTATCCAATTACAGGTGTCTTTATTGCTGAAATAATATGAGAAAAAGAAGCAGCGGGCTTGCTTCTCCTGACCTGTAAATTGGGCTGATAGCTTCCCCTATTTGTCTCCATGGGAATAAATAAGTGTCATACCATACTATATGCTGGGAGCTACTGTGGTCAAATAATTTCCCTTGTGAATCAATAAAGTTTGTCTAAATCTAAGTACTGAGAAACATTTTAGGCAAAGCAACCACATCTCCATGAAGACAAGCAGTTAGCCCTCCAAAAAAGTTACTTGATGCATTAAACAGCAAGGTAGTCCCATAAATCCACTCTTCCCACAGCTGACAGCCCCAATCTCTGTGTATTTATGCATATACCCATGTTTCTTATCAACACAACTCCAAAGGCTATGGTAACCCCACTTCAGAGCGACATGCATATTACAGCCCTGCACACCTTGGCACTGGCCCATTGGTGTTTATGGGCAAACAGGAGTAAGAGTATAATTATTGTCCCCTTGATCCTGGGGGTGTCTGAGTTAGGCTGAACTATCAAAGAGGGGGGTGTTTGAGGCATGGAGTAACTGCAGATGGGGCTGCTGTGGTCCATGGTCCGTGAGCTGCACCTGCCTATAAGCACACTGCAGGTGGATTCACGGGATCTTATGCTACATGTTCAAAGCAACGAGGATATTAGTTATTAAAATGTGACACCAAAACCTGGATCAAAATACACATATAGTATAATTAGGGTATGGTGGTTCAGTGTGCATGTCCAGTTATTTTTCTAACAAGGAACATTATGTAACTCATCCAGGTGTCTGTACTGCAACTCAAGATGAACCAACTCAAGATCTGGAGAAAGGAGTAGCATTGTGGTCCCTAATAGACTGCCCAACGTTAACTGATGGGTCAAATGCAAAAGACATATTTCCCAATTATGAAAAAAAAATAAATTAAATGCCTATGACAGGTTCGACTACTCATTTTACTAAAACACAGCTAAGACAAAATGTAAGATTTTCGCAAAATGTTTAAAGTATCATTGCGTAAAATGTGTCGAAATTTTGGCACGATTTCATCAATTTGTTTAATAGCACTTTATTTCCTGTAATTTCCAGCATATTTTTCAACTTTGTTTTCTAATTGCTTCTTGATTGGCGATACTTCAGTAATTATAATCCCACCAAATTAAGTCAAAGAGAATCATAAAAATCTGTCACACTCTAGTATCCGGCAGAGCCCACTCGATACAATTAATAGCATCTTGGTGTGTTATTTCTACATGTATGTCATAAACATTAAAATTAACAAAATGGACCACTTGACCATGACCAAATCTTTAAGCCGTTGAGATGGTAAAATAGTATTGGCTGGAATGTGTTGGGATATTACATTTCAGATTTAACACACACAATAGCTTTTCAAGTCTAGTGTGTCCACCGTGGGCGAGTATGACAAAAGATGAAAGGCGATACCAAGACTAACTTGTTCTTTACACTATAGTGACATGTAACTCTGCTCATCTACTGTAAATTAACCCTGAATTATCCTTGGCTTTGAACTGTGTCAACTTTGAGAAAGATGACAATACTATTTGCACTGTAAAAACAAAACATGAGGTAGTCTGAAGCCAGGTGAAACTTTTTACAGTCCACACATTTGTCACTCAAGAGATTACTGGGAGCAGATTTCTGTCAGCACTCAGCTCTCGTCTCTTCCCGGTTCCCTGAGAGTGGAATCCTTAACGACTGTGGGCTTTGGCGTCGTTAACATTTGCCTGACACGCTGGACCGGCCCATCTGAGATTCTGGCCTGCATTTTCTGGTCCCGCGCTGGAGTTGTTGTAGCAACGGGCTGCACAGGGGCTGAATACGGCAGATGTGCAGGTCATCTATCCCCCTGACAGCTCCCCACTCCCCCGACTGAGCAAGCCATCAGTGGTGACAGTCTGCCCGAGCGGCCTCATCAATTACACTGGGAGCCTAGTATTAAGGCACCACCACATTCACAGCTACTTCCAGTCTGCAACCAGGGCCCTCAATTAAGCCCCGGGAACTTTCGCCCCTCTCTCAAAGAACATCTCTTTTATGCCACAGACTATGGCCATCAGTCATAGTTAATTTGTAGTTAAAGTTGATGCAAATCTCTCCAACAATGTGTTTTCTTTCCCATACGTTACAGGGCCCTTTAGGTGTGAAACGGCAAACAGCTTGGTTTAAAATGCTATATAACGTTTGTTTTTTTATGCACCTCAGGGCTGCACAATATATTGCAATCTAACTGAAATAACAATTTGAATAGGAGCATCAAATCACAAAAAAGCAATTATTTAGGTAATCCTCTGTAAATGACCAAATACCCTCCAAGCCTGTTGTGAAATGCATTTATCAGTTCTTATTTCATTCTTTTCTCAAATGTTTATGCTCCTGGCAATGTTTAAAATGAGAAAAAAATCTTATCTACACACTTCACATTTTTCATATGCGCAGTCATACTTCTTAGTGTCTGCACAATAGTTAAGTAAACTACAATATTATGACTACACAAACTAACAATCACACTTAGTTGCAAATAGCCTACTTTAAAGGTGCACTGTGTACCATTTCTGGTGGAAAGTGTACAACTTCTTGATGTTGTTTCTTTGCCTAGAACGTTCATATGTGGCATTAAGATAATCAACAATGGATTCGTTCAATTACAGGTGTTTTTATTTCCCAAAAACCTAAATCTTGATAATCATATATTCCTACTATGAGCGATGTTTCCTCCACCAGAAAGATTACGCAGTGCAGCTTTAAAATAAATATTAATTATTATAATGTGATGACCAAAAACACAATAATGAAATGAGATGGGGATTTCGTTGCGTTAATTATTTTCTGTATTCAGTAGTCATGGAAGGCAGCACATGTTTGAACACAGTTTTACAATGTACATCTATGGCAAGACAAGAGGGGCCAAAATACACAAATATTAGCTTTGTCACAAAGATTAACAACATTTGTACAGGGAATATGCAAAAAACATAAATAAAACTTTCATATAAAAATAGCCTTTTACAAAATATACTCTATAAACTATTATTTACCAAAAGTGGTAAGTGTGCTGGCGTTTGATCAGTGAAGTCCAGTGTTAAGCTAAATCAGTTGAAAGTGAGCAATGCCATTGAAGACATTCAGCAGAGCGGACAGCCTCTGGGATCTTCTGGACTAGCAGCAAACAGTGGCAAGACAGACTCATGATGGGGTCAGAAGGCCAGTTTAAGACCACCATCTTTATACAGCACAGTATTAATCCAGTGTGTGGAGTTTAAAACGTTTAAATATGTAAGATAGAAATTTCCCAGCATTTAGTAGTAGTCATCCAAGTCGGACGAAATCAGTAGTTCATTTACAGAATAAATTAACATTATTAATTTTCTAAATACAGTCTTGTTAAATATTCCAGCTTGTGCCATTTGTGCATGGAAGGTGACCACAGCATCACATCCAGAATTTGAAATGGCATAATAATATAAGGTATGTCCATATAGCTTTACATATGACACTTCAGTGACTTGCATTGTGGTCACCAGTCATCCATTGTTCCAGGTCAACTTTCCAACACAGTCCAGGGAATGTCCATAAAGATGTGCAAAAGATCCAAGTCAACCAGTTGTCTGGTTAAGTTCAGCAGTTCAGCATCATCCACAGACAAAACCATCCTCCGATCATCGTTGCAGTCAAATGCCCACGTATCCATGTACTTATTTATTTTTCAAATATAAATATTCCTCACTTGCACGTGTATACCTCTGTCCTCTCGCTGCACGTGTTGCACTTGACGTAGCAGCACCATAAAAACTTACAGTTACATTGCCAGACCCGTGAATACTGGTGCGTGTTATAACCCCGTCCACAGCACATCAAATCGCACCCGCTAATGTGCTGCATCATAGTCTTGTTGCATACTCTCCCTTGCGTACCCAAACTGCCTGTCACGGGGTCAGCTTCGCAGTAGTTTGGGGATTTGTCTATGTAAACCAGGTCCGTATCCATGGGTTTGCGGTATGAGTAGGGTTTTTTGATCTTGAGAAATTTGGGGCGCTTGTGTCGGCTGGCTTTGACGGGCTCCACATGCACGGCGTGGGCATACTTCTCCTTGAGAATGTAGCCAAGCTGGCGGAACTTGGGGAGGGTGGTCCAGCAGGTTTTGGTGGTGCACGAGCCCGAGACGCCATGACACTTGCATTCCAGACGCATGTTCTTCTCCAGGATCTGAGGAAAACATACAAGCGTTTACAAAGCAATCAAAACAAAATGATGATTTTTGGAAATGCTTCAGAATTAGCGTATAAGGCTTAAGTTTGAAGTTTTGTTTTCTTGACTGAATATCTGAGGAAGTTAACTAACTAAAGCCATTTCTGAAGTCTTCATAATACAAGCCATGTGTGCCCAAATGTAAGTACCTTTTCAAACTTGAGTCACCAACAGCAGTGGTGAGCAATGACTGATGTCATGATATTGACTCATGATGTTGCCTTGTAATTATTCTCATTTGTAGTGAGTATAAACTTTATCAGTTTTACCTGATTGATTTCTTGTTTTTTTCCTCCCACAATTTTGATGCAACAAAGAAACCCTGGTCTCTAAAACATGATTTTTAATAATGAATAAAGATAAGAATGAAGAATTATGTTTTTGTGTCAATTTTATGTTTGTCCACTTGTTTATTTTATCTCATTCATAAAAGACCATGATTCTAAGAATAGCAGCTTATAGCGAGACAGGAATATTGCCACAAATCATGCTCTTAGTAATGTTGTCTTCTTATTCCAGGATTTATAAGCCCACGTAAAACTAAACAAAACTATCCATTTCCCTGATATGTTACTCAATATTTTATCATAACACTCTAAGTGACTCATAATGAGAATACTCGAAGAAAAATCACACACATTGAGTTAAATAAACCAACTAATAAAACAGCATTCTCCAAATATGTGACTGGTTGACGTGTACTGCACTTGAACTCGAAGCATCAAAAGTGCAACTTGAAAGCCTAAACGTGCCTGTCACACTAACTCCTGTATGGTTTAGGATTAAATGCAGCCCCACCACATAGCAGTGTGATGGCGTCCGCACAGAAGCCAAAATAGTGTCTCAGATTTCAGGCTGTGTGTATGTAGTCACACACAACACACAAATGTCAGGAGCGACTGTACAAGGCGACGAGTGACTGGGATTACAGCTAAACCCTGCACTGATGACAATGAGAAGTACCAGGTCAAATGAACTCCATCTTTTTGGAAATGCTGAGAATTTTGGTTGTCACATAATCTAACCCATACATGTTATATGTTAATGTATAGAAATTGTGAAGTATTTTGTGTAATTAATTATATTATTATTATTTTATTGTAATAATAATTTTACTATAAGCTGTTTTTATTCAATTTCTTCCTAGTTTTTTGCCACAGCGTATGTTTAAATAGTAGCTAGATTTAGGTTTTAGAGCACTAATGTAAAAATTTAAACATTAGGAAATCAAGTTCATTATTTGTATAAGGAAATTTGTCTTTGTTGAGTTCAAGATGCTACTCTGTGATTTTCCCACAATGCATCAATCAAAAGATATTAAAACACAAACAAGATACAATAAAGGGAATTAAAAAACAACTTGTTTTTCCTGGGAATCACCCAAAAAGATGGCTGGCTTGAATCCCATATCCATCAGCTGTTGTGTGACCAAGTCTAGTGACAACCTTTGTCTACTTTGAGCTGCTATGCACCTCTGTCTCTGAGTTATATTTGCATAAAAAATATGTATTCAACTAAAAACAACTATCCATTTCTAAGTTCAATTACCAGAAAATAAGTAAACATTATAATGCTTTGTTACTTGATACATGCTATGAGCAGCTTGTATTGAAAAAGTCAGTGAGAACAAGACCCCTAATACAAGCTGAAAAGGCCTTTAGAGCCATTGTGGACTGGGACGTGTGAGTGCTGAGAATCAGGCTTGTTTGGCACCGAGAGAAAAACAACAGAGAAAGGAAAACAAGTTAACTCTGCTCAAGCCAATTCTAAGGCTTCACTAAAACAGACATTTGTCCTGAACTTGAGGACTCTGTGAACTCTAAAGCAGTGGAGGAATAAAACTTTATGTTACGTAAGAAGAATCAATAATTATAGCATATATCAATGTTAGTTCTTGTGCAGAGTCTAAAAAAACTATAATAAGCTGCCTGTTAAATCTTGCCTGTGAAGCGCTCTGAGAAAACTTATGGGATACAGGGCAAGATAAACAAAAAAATAATAATAATGAAATAACTAAGTAAATATTTGACAAATAGCAAATGCCTCACAAAAACAACACTTCTAACATCATGGCATCAAATAAAACTTAAAAATAAAAAAATGCATAAGCAAATTCACCTACTACTGTAAATAATCTCCAAATAGACATATTACAGAATAGAAAAAATATAGCATGGTGTGGTTTGAGGATTTCTGAGTCAGCTGAAACTTCTGATACGCAACTATGCCAGGAGTTTACAAGTGTTTGTTCCAAATGCTAAAAAGAATATTTAGTTTTATTAATCTTATTTAATCCTGAATTAGACGTGGCTTTAATCTGGTTTCACTTTGGTTTTACGGTGTGTTCATACTTGTAATGGTTTGGTTGTGGTTTGAGCCCAGTTTAATCCTGATGTAGAATAGATTTGATCCTGGTCTAGTCCAGGTTTAGTTCTAGATTGAATCCCAGTTAAGTCCAAATTTTTATATGGTATGTGTATAAATGTGAAGGCACTTTTACTTGTGGCTTTAACCTGGTTTATTCCTGGTTTAGCCCCCTGGCTTGAGACATTTGAAGGATCTACATGAACAATATTTTAAGAAATTGACAGAAATAGTTTGAAAATCAATGTTTCAATGCATGAAGACACTCACCTTTCTCCCAACCTCGTTATTGTGCAGGTTCATGAGCGTCCTGGCGTTCTGCTTGACTTCGCGGGCGTCAATGAAGACTTTGGAGAAGCCCAGGCCGTAGCTGACGTCGGCAGAGCAGCCCCCCCACTTCCAGCCCTGGTCTTTACTGTAGAAACCCTGCTTCTCCTTATCACAGCTGCAGTCACTCAGATTGCCCTGTGTGCACGCTGCTGTGATGGCATGGGCCACTCCTGCTGCGATGATGGCATAGGTGAAGGCAGCCTCTTTACTACCTAGATGAAGGACAGAAGAGGGTAGTTAAGTTCTTAAATATACACCAATACTTAATAGCATTATGACGAAGAAACAATACAACAATACTATACAGATATCAGCAGTTTAAAAGGGTTACTTCAAGTCTGCTTGTGACCACTACTTCTGTGTTCTTAAGCAATGCACATCACTATTGATTTAAAGAGCATACAAGACTTTTATGTTTTGAAATTTTCACCAAACCCCTGATTAACTGTTTGGATGACTACTGTTTTCAAACATGACTACAAACAAGACTTAAATGGTAAAATAAATTGTAAATTCTATCATTCTTATAATAATTTCCAAAGGCATGCAAAAATGGCAGAAAACTGAAAATGACTAATTATTAACTGTTCAACTGTATGCTTGCTCTTCGAAGTCTGACCTGGAAACGGTCCTGCCCCTGAACCAAAATGGCTGTTGCAGATGTAGTCAACAAAGCAGAATGAATAAGAGGGTTGTTGAGAAGGAAGAGCTATTGATCGGTTGGCTCCTACTCTGTGTGCACTCATAAGGGTCTGACATCACAATATTCAATTTGCTGTTATCTCTAACAAATCATTTACACACCAGGAAATAAAGATGCAGATGTAAAGGTTAAACCATACAGGGATTCGTGTACCTTGTCGAAGTTAGTGGGGAAGGACTAGTTTTTGGTAAAATAAATTCCAACTAGCATTCACTTTTCTGGACCCAAATCAATATGCAATTATGTGAAACTTGATGCTGATTGATTCAGGAGATATTTATGTCGATCGTGCAGCATTTAAGAATTTTCATATGCACATTACATGTTGCACAATCGAAAAAACAAACCAAAACTATGCACTCTTGCTATTGGACGTTCAGATTCAGTTCACAGAACACATTTGAAGAACAATATACATTTCAGAAAACTGTGAAATATAAACTTCAATCTAGACCCACACAATATTCCAGTGTATCTCAGAACATGTTTGTATGTTGTAGAGGACTAAACTACAAGACCCACATTGGTACTTTATGATGATGAATGGATATTACATCTCCTTATAATTTCAGCTTTTGCGATTTTCTAATTGCAACTCTTTAAATTTTGATTTGATTGCATTCTTGAAGCCCTAAACTGGAGTAGGCAATTTTATTTGATGTTTTATCCAGGGAAACAAGAACAGTATGCACTCGACTTGACCCAAATGCTACCCAGTTAACAGCACCACTGATGCCTCTTAAACAAAACCCAAACTTTGTTAAAAGCAAAAGCATTGTATGATGAATATTTTGAAGAAAGTTAAATACTACACAAGAAGTATGGCTTGCATTGTCTTTTATTCACCCTTGCAAACAGGAAAACTCAATATGCCAGTATCTATCTATCATATCGAGTGTAAATAAACTGCACCAGGCTCTGTTTGTTCAAAATAAACACCAGCGTTTCTTCCTTGTGGCACCTGGTTCACTATCAGACACTGCCACGTTATTTGATAGACATCTTGGATATGTACTCTCTCGATTGAAAAAAATATCATATTGAGGCATCAATTATATGGACATTTTTATAGGCTCACAGCGGGCCCCGGGCCAAAAGCGAAGGTGTGTCTGCAGTTTTGACTACGCTGTTGTTAATTTTTCCCCTGCAGATCTGAGTGCACGGGTTCACCACAAGAGACGGCAGGAATCCTTCAGAAGCGTGTAATGAGAGGTGGAAGCTATATAAAAGACAGAAGACTAAAAGATCAAGACTTAGCTAGGAGCGCCAGGTGATTAGACTACTGCCACTTTTGTTTTCGCCTTCATGTTTTAGCCCCTTAATATCAACTTAAGTTTAATGTCAATACACAACTCAAGGCCTGGGTTAAAAATACTAGACTCAATGGCTCTATACTGATACACCTTGCATTAACATGGTGCCATTCCATTGGTTATCTCCCTCTTTTCAGGTTTAAGAACAATTGCTCCTCTGCTCCATTTGGGCCTTAAGCGTCAACAATGGCATTCATTTACGAGCATTGGGCTTAATCTGATCAGTGAAACCAATCTATTAGGTATGGCTGTCCAAACTGCGCACTTCAACTTTTCACTTAAGCGACACACCAACCGAAACCCTCTGATGGGCTAAGGACACTTAAATAGACTGAATGTTAAACAATGCAACTTTGTTTCAAAAGCAGGAAGAAATAATCCTTTCTCTGAAATGGCAAGATGGTCCTTAACAGCTGGGCAATAAGGTTTTGACCATTGTTAAAATCCCTACACAAACTGTGGCCTCCTAAAGTACATTCATTAATACAACATCAGAGAACACAGCCACACAGCTTACATATAAATATTAGTTCAATTATTGATGACCGGTGTCCATTTAAGTCAGTTATTGATTTCATAGAGTTACAAATTTGCACTGTTCAAAACTCACTTTGGTCCTATCTGTACTTTTTAATATCCACATACAACTTAAGAACTTTCAGTAATTAGTTTCACAAGCTGATACTGAATCTTACCTTCTATTTAAATTAACATTTCTCAAACAGAAGCAGACATTTCTATTCAAATTAAGCATGTACTCTTCTTGTTTTCCCCTGTTGCCCTCCCTGTACTGTAACTTATACCCGTGGTAAGATCTACATGGTTACAGTGGGACCGCGGCACCCATCACTAGACAGGATAAAGACCAGTGAAAATGTGTCTCCGGAGACTGGGGAGGCCTGAATGGAGGAGCTGCCAACATTCACGGGAGCTTTGTTATCGTTCTGGCTTCAAATGCCTTTATACAGAAAGACCCAGGAGAAAGGCACACTCAATGTGGAACAGAACTAGGCCTGATGTAAGTGACACTGGCTTTAGGATAGGATGCACTTTATTTTAACGCTATGGGTTAGGTAGGCTGTAGATAATTCTAATGCAAATGCATCTGTCTAATATACATTTTGGAAAAACGTATAACATTTTGATAAATTTATTAAATAATAATAATAATAATAAAAATAAAGAAGCACCAAACATTTGTTTTGTAATATCCAGTGTTCAGTTTGCTTGAACAGTTACAATTTTGAGTCAAAAACCCCAACATATTATACTATTGGGGCATGCATTTTGCTGGAGAAGTAACAAATGGATGGTTAATGTTAACGCGCCATTTACGCATGCTTTACGCCTCAGATCTAGTACTGTTCCAAACACATAATATGCAGTCAGAGGATTGAATCACACAGAAAAAAAATTCCAAAAACATTTGAAACGTTAACAGACAGGCAACATACCCACTTTCAACTCTTTTCCGAAGACAGTCCGCTCCCCGAGCGCAGAACAGTTCCAGCGGCCGTTTTTGAACTGAAACTGACACTCGTTGATGCCCATTTGGACTCCCTCTCCGATGACGATAATGGCATCGGGGCGACTTTGGCAGATTATCCGCTGTCTTGGGGCCAAACCGGGGATCTTGTTACAGATTATACTCGCACCTAGGGCCACCACCGACGAGAAACCACTGTGAATGGAAGATGGATGTGACTGAGAAAAAAATACCCTCTACTTTTGTCACCTGCTGGTTACTGTTGCTCCTCTTATTGTACACTAATTTTAATAATTATAGGACTATGTAATTTTGAAAAGTGTGTAAAATCATTGTAAAGTTTCTCTGGAATTTGTCAGTCTTGTGAGACTAAATATCCAGAAAGCAGGTGTGCGCTTAACTGCCACAATGCATGTTCTCGTTTGAGCAAAACTAGTTTGTGAAAAGGTAAGTACGGAATTCCATTTATATAAACAATATTCAGAGTAGTAATCCGTTTTTATTACCCTACGTTACTTGTCAAGGTACAGCCTGTAGCCTACTGTAAATTTAATCTCCAGTAAACAGCTGCGCGTAAAACACGTCAAACTTACCCAATTTTCAAATAAACAATCCCCAAACACAGTAAAACTCTTAAAATCCAACGTCGCGTTTTCCGACTCATTGCGGCCCCGTTCTGTCGAGCTGATGAGTAACTCGTTTATTCTCCGATCGATTCCAGCTCAGGTAAGTCCACGGAACAGGCAATCCAAACTCACATAGGCGCGGTGGAAGTTTACTTTTCACTGTACCGTCCAGACTGCGTGTCCCCGTATGAGCGGCCCCCGTCCTGACGGCCTTCTTGTCATCGCGAGGGTGACACAGGTGATCCCCGGGGCTTGTCTCTGACTCCTTGTTCCTCTGCTACCCGCAGCTCTCGCCTTATATCAGGCTCATCTATCTGGGGCGTGTTCACGGGAGACAGGCATGGGGCCCTGCTCAAGAATCCCGCCCGGGCTGAGTGCAAGGACTCTCATTATTCCACACGTTCACCTTGACTAATTGAGGTGACTTTTGTTTGCCATACCGGCTGTTATTTCCCATAGTGACTGTTATCTACAAAGACATTTCCATCAATACGATAGGCGATTTCAACTGATTTCAAATAACCAATTTTTTCATGGCAAATATAATGTAGCCTATAGTAACACTTTATTAGCCATACACAAAAATTTAATATTTAGACATAGACCTAAGTATGCTATGAGCTCTTTGGTTTAGATATATAACACACACACTATTTGCTTTTTTTTTTGCCTTATAAATGTATCCATAATTTATATAGTTTGAAGATGTCCTGCCTGTATCTGTCACCCTTTATAATGTCGCCATCTAGTGGGAAGTAAAACAAGTAACACATTTAAAAGAAAAACAAATTGTCCTTGTATTATTTCCGTAGTTCGCCAAAGTGCTGCGTGACGGTTTTACGCGCGGATATCTTAACTTATTACGCTGGTGTAAACTGATATAAATATGGATACCTACCTCATAAAAGATTGTTTGATTCATATCTTCACGTTTCTGTCAGAAAAAGACCTCTTTAGTGCCTCCAGTGTGTGTAAGGTAAGGAGCGTCTGACTTGCGGAAGTAGTCTGATTGCAATGTTACTACAGCAAAATCTAGTTTAGACTACATTGCTTTAATTTTTAGGACTGGAATGACGCTGCAGAAACACCATGGTTGTGGAGGTAAACCTTTGTTATTGTTTCAGCGTTTCTGTGGAGAGTTTAATTGTCTCATTGGGTAGTTAAATAGTAATACCTGATTCTCCAGGAGGATGTCACTACAGCGCTGGGTCTTCTGTAACGTCGGATTGGGAGGAGATGGTGCCCAATCCTGGAAGCGATACTTCCTCCGCCGGTACCACCTGGAGAAGAAGATGAGCGAAGGAAAAACTGGAGGCTACACATGCAAAAGTCTTAGGGGACACACAGGTAAAGTAAACAGCATTTTAAATATTGAGACCCACCCCATTTGGTTTATTCTTTTGATCTATTTTTAAATATAAGTTCCAATTTAGACATTTTTAGTTTTAGTCATCTTTAAAAAGTGCCACCTGCTTATCTCTGTAAAGATGATATTGCTTTGCCTGAAAGTATGACATTAAACATATCTGTCTCCATGGAAACAAACAGGTGACACCATCAAGCTAAGTTACAGGTCAGATCTACCGCAGTCCAGTAATAATAGCCTCCTTTCTTACTGACCTCCAGGTAGGGTAATCGGGGTGGCTTACCTTAACTCATCAGATTCATCAGCTTCCTCTGACCTCTGGAGTGGCAGTGCCACTGTCTGCAGTGCTTCAACGGATGGGTCAGTGAGAGTGTGGGGAGTCCAAAAAGTGAGTACAAATTACAGTTAAGAAATTATCACTGAGCTGAACTAAATACTTTGTTTATTTAGACATGCTTTTAATTGTTAGTTGTTAATAACTTAGTATCTTTAATTTAGTTTTGTTCTCTGTAGCGTTGTGACATTCCTTGGAATGTTAAGTACATTATAAGTAAAGTAGTACTATTTCAGAGACACTACAATACATTTAGCAAAGTATTAAAAGAGTAGCATGTTTTTTTTTGTGTTTTTTTTTTTTTTATCTACATAGGGTGAACTCTTGTGGTCCAGTCCTGCATCCCAGAATCCAATGATGGACATGATAACAGACCAACAGCACAACCTAGTGGTCACAGCCGACACTACAGGTCTCATCACCACTTGGCATGGACAAACTGGACAGCAGATGGCGACGTTTGCTACAGGATTTTCACACACCAAGTTACTCCAGTATACTATCGACAATAACTGGTTTCTGACGGTAAATTATTTTTCATGTAGTGATATAACTTTACTGATTGCTGTCTATAACTGTAAAAGTTTATTCTCCTCTTTCTAGGTGGGAGGACGTCTTGGGTCTGTAATTACTTTAGCTGGACCAGATTTGATTAAAAGATCTACTTTCATGGTTTGTGACTCTTTTCAAGTTACAACACTACTAATTTCACCTGACAAAAAGTGGCTTACAGCTGGGACTAAGGACAATGATGATCTAAGTGCCAAGGTATCTTTCGCTTTTCTTTTTTTACATTTCACAATAATAACATTCGGATACAATTCAAATAAAACTTTAACAATATTGCACTTTTTGTCTTTAAAAAGGTTATGTACACAGAAAGTCTAATTGCAGAATCAGAGGATGATGAGCATCTTTGTCAGTCTTTGCCAGTGGCTGGGTGCAGAGCTGCTGTTTTTATACCAACACAACCTTCCAGGCTTGCTGTAGTTCACACAGAATCCCAGCGCAACAACATCCTCACTGTGTTTGACATCTGTCTTAAAAAATCCAAGTACAAAACAGAAATTATAGGCAAGCACCAAATCATTACCTTCTGTATTTATATTATTGCATTTTTACTCTGTGCTATGTTATCATATCATTCATTATATGATTAGTTAATCAGGTGAGGTCCTTCAGTTTGAACCAAGTCAGCTCCCAACAATTCCTCCTAAAGGCCAAAGACAGCAACTGCATTGTGTTGGCAGCTGGTGATCAACTGTTAGTCTATTCTCTCACTGGAGAATTGCTTCAAAGCTTTTCAGATCACACTATGCCAATCTCTGCACTGTGGGTGGTAAGACGTTTTAACATTCCTAATGGTTATATTTTGATTATTTCCTTTTAGAAAATAACATTGAAATACATGTTAACAGGATAGTTTTCGTGCTGTGACTGCATCTCTTGATCTCTCTCTGCGAGTGCTAACATGGAAAAATAATCGAGATGGTGGACAAACTCTAGAGGGCCGCTATCACTTACTGGGAGGATCTCATTCAATGTCAAGGTGATTATCTGTTATATTTAAACAATCCAAAAATCTTACTAAAAATTATTAAAATGGCATTTTATTTTCAGAGGATTCACCCATGTTGTATGTGACTACTCCAGCATTGTAGCATCAGTTGAGGGCAATGATGGATCAGATGTCTTGAAAACATACTGTTTCACATCTTAAAGGACAGCTCATTTCTATTTCATCATTTTGTCCCCCATAACACCACTAATACAAGAACAGTGACCACAATGATGTGGATTTAAATATAATTAAGTATGTTCTCCAAGAAAATCCACATTACATCCATAAATGTCACAGTTTTATTTTATTAAAGCTTGAAAAAATGTATTGGTATCTGAAGGAAATGGATGGATGGAGATAGGTCTATATAGGTCTATATTGCACATACTTGTACTTGTGGTTTACAAAAATCTGTGTTACCTTCAAAGCAATATTATGAACAAAGGCATACTTGATGTAATGAGATAACAATAAACACCAACCTAAGATTGTCTATACTTGTTTTCAGCTGAGGTAAGGAGTCTTCATAATAACCAAGAATAAGGCATAGAGTTGTATCTGGTCAGTTGGTTTTACCTGAGAATGAGAATTATTGTACTTTTTATATTCACATTGATCATTTTTGTAACTTTGTGGACACAACTTGTATTGGCACAAACATGTAGCACACACACACGTCCTAGCACAATTTAAATGAACTTAGAGTAACTTAAAGCACGAACGCGGAAACTCTGGTACGGTCAGTGAATTTCTCTTCTCATCCAAGAGACACATAAGGACCTTAGACAGAGACTTGTACAGTTCACTTCCCTCGGGTGTGTTGTCTTGCACCTGTTGCAACAAATGAAGAGAAAAAGATGTATGCAAAAAATTCAGAATGAGAATGTTAATCTTATTTTTTTTTATTTCTTGTAGTATCTATTTACTACACCCAGACTGAGGAAACAACAACTAATTACTGATACTTGTATATGATTACAACTAACATAATCTAAGTCTAACAAATACATGAATTTTGACTACTCAAATATACTCAAATTAAGTTAATAATTTTGAATTTAAATAATTTTAACTCCCATATACTTCACTTAAGCTGTGTAGGGATTGTGCACTCACCCTGGTGAATGCCTTTATGGTCCGATTCAAGAAAGCATCCTCAACCTTCTCTGATATAAACTGCATATGAGCCATACAGTCCAGAATACAAGTTAGCGTTTCTCGAGCACCCTACAAAAGAGGACATGGGAAATGCAACCAGGTGATAATAATCATAAAGTCAATAAACATATAATTGTGATCTTAAAATCGTAAATCTGCTTGCAATAGATTAACGTTAGGGAAATTTGTCATCTATATTCAAACTTTTCCTTCAATGCCAGAGACCCAGCTCCAGATATTGTTCTAGGCTTGGGATGTAAAACCCAGCTGAAATAGTAGCCTATAGATTATTTATTTTGGTGGAAGGACCAGAGTACCTACAAGAAGCCCACCAAGACACAGGGAGAACATGCAAACTCCACACCAAAAGACCCCGCACTACCTGAGACCACTCAAGCACTGTGCCACATAACAGTAAATACTAAAATTAAAACTTAAAAAAACAAACATGAAAAACAGCTAAATCTGCATGGACCAAAATAATTACAAACAAGAACAAAGATAAAAAACTTGGTTCCTTCCAGACCTGATCCAGTGGGCTGAGGAGCGTTTTGGTGTCTGTGTTTTTTGGGTTCAAAGCTTGAGCGACTTCAGCAGAGATGACGGGTTCTCGGAGCTGCTCAAGCCACGCCCACATAAGCCCCGTGAGGATGAAAGGGTCACGCTCCAGGCACAGCCGCTCCCATGCGCCGCCTTGGTTTAGTTCAGCCTGTCAACACACATTAATGCATTTACTCTGCTCCCATCTCACCCATGGCCACTCAGGAAATAGGATAAGGGGGAGAGGGTCTAAACAAACTAATACTCTTTGCTGACATTTTGAACTGACTGTTTTCTTGATATTGTTAATGTATCATATTGTAATTCTTACACTTTTTCCAATCATTTTCCCAAATGGTCTTATTGGTCAGTCTGTGTAAATATCTGGATGAGTGACTGGGCTTTAAATACATCAAATGTGAGTTTCATTTCAAACTGAACAACAAAAATAAACTTTGTTAACACAGGATGAGTACAGTAATATGCAAATATATTTTAAATCATAGAAATAATAATGAATTAGTCTTATACAGTGCTTTTACAGTCTCAGCAAGTAACTAAACAAATGTATGCACATTTGATTTGCTAGGTATGTGCAGTATATCACAGAATAATTAATATCACAAATATCCAATATTGGTTCATGCAAGAAAAAAATTATAACACTACTAAGATTTTTTATTTGACAGACATTTGCTTTTTAATTAAAACATGCTTGTATTTAGTATAAAAAATTTTGCTTTTTTTCTTGATTTAGTCTCAGGTCAGTTATTGTTACACATTTGACTTGTTAATTAACATCTTTACATTTTTGTTCTAATATAACTGAACGTTTTACTGCCTGTATGTTGAAATATTGCAGTAATAATGTTATTTCATAGTAGAAACAGTTTTCACTCACACAGTCTAGGACCCTCATTATTTAGTCTTACCTCCCATTCCAACACCTTCTTCTTGTGTCTCTCTTCTCCATCCAGGAACAGGTCAACGGCCAAAGCTTGAGCCACCAGCAGCCTGCGGCCATCTAGTGACAGCTCCGACTGCAGCGTGATAAAGGGCACCTCAGAATGTTCCTCTTCTCTACTCTCCGTTTTTTTCCCATTTGCCAACTCCTCTCTCTCCTCTGCTTTCAACCTGGTTAGCAGCGTCCCTTTCTTTGCATCCTTATTATTCCCTATGGATTCACTGCGCTGGATGCTAGTTTTATGTCTTCTGATCAGAATTGAGCCATCTTTTTGGTGCTCTAAGTTTTTGATTTCCCATAGTGAACTAACAGAGCTGAATGAACTGAGTGAAGTATTACTATTCCATATTTTTCTCTGTGCACTAGTTGGCGGTTCTGGCATTCCAACATTGTCTTGTGATAAAGATGTTACTGGCTGTGTTAGGAGATTGAGGTCCGATCCAAGTCTTCTCAAATCTGACTCGCTATAGCTGAGACTTTTGCGATGGTAGAAGATAGGTGGTTCATTGAAATGCCTTGGTAACATAGGTGAACCTGGCAATCGTGGTTGATTGATAAAAATCTCTGGGCCTAATTTCTCTATTATGCTTTGCTCCATCTCCAAGTCTTCACTATCAGGAGCTTCCAAAATGTCTTCTTCAATCACTTGTCGATTTTCTGCAATATCTATTAACAACTTACACACCAGCTGGATGATCTTGGGCAAGTACTTCAGTTGTCGGCGTTCATATCCGTGCAGAATGTGCGTTTGGCGGTGCAGGTATTGGGTCAGTGTGACTGGGTAGGTGAGTGGTTTAGCACATGAGAACACACTCCTCAGGGGGACCAGAAACTGCACAAACTGCCTCACACAGTTCAGCTGGCTCCGGGTCTGGACGGAGTTTGGACGTTTGGCGCGGACGTACAGGATGGCCTGGTTGGCAGTCATTCGAGTTGTGTAGGTGATGAAACAGGCTATCAACACACCTAGAGCAAAGAGAGAATAACCTAATGAATAACACTAAAATCTATCACTAAGTCTGTTAACACTAAAATCTATCACTAAGTCTGTTAACACTAAAATCTATCACTAAATCTCACTAAATACGTTAACCTGTAAGAGAACTTGTACAATCAGATTTCACATATATCAGTAAAGAATCAATGCAAAGAATATTATTCATCTCTTCAAAGATTCAAATACTAATGTAAAAATATTTGTTTGTTTCCTCTCACATTAAAGATTAACTATTCAACTTTTCTCCATTGTCTCCATTGAGCTGTTGATTGTGATGTTCCACTATATAGCATTAAATGTTTCTATCTTGTATTTATTCAACTATTGCTATCCTTGCTACACCTTGAAAATGCATTAACACTGTGAGCAGAGTCGCCTCTCCACAGATGATCTGTAACTTGGCGTGGTGGCATTGCCTGCTTGTCTCCATGATGAGTAAATTTAATGCCATACTATGTAACTTTCCAGGCAAAACAATAACATCTCCATGGAGACAAGCAGGCGGCAAATTCACAGTTCATAGACTTTTTTTTAAATCAAGAGATTAAAGACTGATTGGTTACTGTACCTGTTCTTCCAAGCCCAGCGTGACAATGGACTGCTACCTTCCCCTCTTGCAGTGCAAAGGCCATGACTTTCACCAAGTCCAACACAGCGGTGAGGGACCCCACACCATAGTCACTCCAGCCAAAATTATAAAAGTAAACTACCAAAACACAGAATAACAGTTTATTCTACTTACAAATACTACTCTAAACTATACTTTATATTGAATGAAAGTAAAATCTGCATACTGTTGTTTTCCATAAATACTTCTGGACAGTATGAAAATCCACTTTTTGGCTCTAAAGGGTTTCCACAATATGCATGTTCACCAGGAATTTGTAGGTTGATCAATGTTTTGATGCCATTCCTGAAAGAAAAATGTCTGGTAAACACTGTCACACTAGTTTTTAGACCTTTATATAAAATGTTCACCTTTTAAACTGATCGATTATGTTATATTTTTCAATGATTTCTGTGGAGGGTCTGGAGCATGCAAGGATGTGGTCAGTCACCCTTAAAGACAAATGCATACATTGAGTGAGTTTTTGTTGTGCCTAATGAACATTATTTTTGACATAATGTACATTAACAGAAAAGGAATCTTACCATGAAGAGTAGAGGCCTTTTATAGCCTGTTGTTCGTCACTCCAGTACGTTGGATTGTCATACTTGCATGCTTGTCCTCCACAACCATAAGAACATTGTACATGGGCAGGGACAACATAACGGATAGCCTCACCAAAAACTGTATACTTGGACCTAGGGGCTCTGACTGAAAAATCAAGAAAAAAACATAGCATATTGTTTATTGTCATAAACAATTAAGAATTTGATGATATCAGAAGCTGGTTGGTAGAGTTTAATATTGCATTTAAGGGTAGGTCACAAGTATTCACACAGTAAATGTTGAACTTCATCATTTTTTAAAATAATTATATGTAATTTTATAATTTCATAATATCAAACATTATCTTTGTGCTCTACTGTCTTCAGTCTCACAGTGTGCTTGGATAGAGCCATCACTTTTAAACTCTGCAGACAATTGTTAAAGTTTGTGTCTGTTTTTTGTTTTGTGTTTCTTATTTAAAGAAACTTTAAATATACCATAACATCTGCCTACATGGCACATTTTACCACAGAACCAAATCCCTATCAGTCGATCATAAACAATGTTTTTTATAATGTTGCTTAACAAATGAATGAAACCAATATCTTAAAATAAACAAGTTTTATATTAATCTTTCTCTGCTGACTGCTTAGATCCCCGGTGACTGTTCACTTAAGGTGACTAATCCCTTGTCTGGCAATGGCCGGACCTTAGCTCTAAAGGACAGCTAACTACTTTATGAAAATAACTATATTTAACTACATTTTAACTCACTAATTATATAGTGTGTGTTCTTTTATTATTACTTACAGAATTCCATCAGAGCCCCTCCTGCTGCCTGTGCCATTTGAAGTGTGACTCAGGAAATCAACCAAAGTCATAGCAGAATCTAGGCACACATTACATATCATCTGATTAAACAAACTAAATAGTTTCAAGTTCTATAGTCTACATAACAATAAAAATATAACTCACCTGAAACAATTGAGCTAAAGCATCTGTAACAAGCATGTTTGAAAAGTCTACTGTTCTGGATGCCAGCATATCTGGCTTCAGCCTTTTGACGCTGACTTCTATGGAGAGTCAATCTTGTTGCTTCTCTTGATGCAATCCGTCACAGATTATCCCTGCGTCTCTGGGTGGGGCAACTGTGTGAACATGGCCTGTGTGCTCCTACATGGAAAGACATGCATTTACTGGTATAACTGATGCATTTGATAATACTTCCAAAGGAATGTGTATAAAATGAAGACTGGTGAGAGTTTGTTACACCTAACTCCTAACACAGTCCCTGCTGTGGCAGTGAAGGGAGAGCAGATTTATTTTTGACTCCTCCCAGATTAGACAACTATAATCTCATTACTCTGTAGGTATATCAGCAGAGCACCTTATACTCAATTACAGTATTGGCCATTGAAAAACACACACTATAAAACATTTCAATATTTCTGTTCTCGCTTTTAGACTATTGTAATAGTTTTTTTTCTTGTCTAAACAAAAAGGAGTTGTCTCCTCAGCAGCTGTACAATGAGGATCTTTAACTTCACTCTTAACTCTTCAATGACTACCGGTCTCCAACCAGATACAATAAAAAAAAATGTTGGTGCTGACTTTCAGAGCCCTAAATGGTCCTTCCTACATCAGTGATCTGATATAGGAAGGAGCATCTCGCACATTGAGGTCCATAGTTCACAACGTGCTGATGGATCCTCCCACTTTTTTTTGGACCAGAGGAGACTGATCCTTCCAGGGTGTTGCTCCCAGACTCTGGAACAATCTTCCACTCTCTTTGCTTTCCCTGGAGTATGTTTTCACTTCTTGTTCTGACTTTGTGACCTTGTCTGAGAAAGGTGCTATGCAAAATAAACTTGCTTATAATCAATAATTTCTGTTAATGTTAGGCCTATGCTTGGTGTCCAAACAGTGACAGAAGTAACTTATATGTAGTTTTGGGGCTTGGAAATATGCACACCACAATATATTTTGCTGGGGAGAGCAGCATTAGACTCAAATCTGTTCCACAAATAGAGGTACCTGAGTGACATACCAAGCAGATAAAATCTGATTGGCTTAGCTCACTAAAGCTGGTTAGTTTAAGGATAAGTAGTAGAAAGCAAAAGGGGCGTGTAGATGGAGATAACATTTTTGATAGAAATGGGCAATAAAAATAAAAACTACCAAACAATCAGTATAAACTTACATCGACCCTGTCTTAGAGGATTTCAACAAGTAAGTCACTTCTTAAAAGTGTGTATTTTCTATTTCACTCACCAGTGCCTGGCAGTTCAAATTTGTTTCTACCATGTTGCTCATATCTGAAGCTCCACAGTAAACCTAAAAACACAATTTAAGATATTAGATTAGTGTCATAAGACCAACTATGTTAAATAAGTAAGTTAAATATCACTGTGGAATACTGTCAGAATATACCTGTGATCGAAATAAATAAATAAATAAATAAAATCAAGTAATATTTTCACACTTATTCACACTCCAATATTCTCTAAGACAATTTACAAGCAAAACATAACTGGAGTAACCTAATGTACAATTTAGACTTAGACTTAGACAAACTTTATTGATCCTCAAGGGAAATTACTTGGACGCAGTAGCTCACACATCACAATATAACAACAAAGAGCAAAACTATAAAAGATAATAATAAATTCTAAATAAGTAACAAAAAAGATAGCAAGAGACAGGTGTCAAATAAGACATAATTATATAAATGTTAATGTACAAGTCAAAATAAAATGGATTAGAAAAGAAGAAAAGTTATTCATTCATTCATTGTAACTCTGTATGCAACCACACAGGCTATTCATAGTGACCACCAGATGGCAGTAGACACAACTCAATATGCTATCCACGTCAGATACAACGTGTTGAGCAAATCCAGGCTAATATTGCAGTATAAATACATTTGGGCCATTAGTTATACACCTTGTAGTGCAAAAGTTGATAGGTAGGGCCTACCTTATTTGAATGGATACAGGATTATTGTACGCCTACAGGCTGCGGCTCTAAAGTGCCATAGCAATGCGTCATCATAGCCCCATTCTGAATATAAAAAAGGGATGTGGACCTTTCACATCCTCCTTGCCGCAGACTTAATCGGGTTGTGATAAAATTAGTTACATCTGCACATTTTTAAAAGTGAACACAAGGGGGCCTTGGGTACCACTCGCGTAGCTGATTTCCGCGCTCCACATCGGCACCTTCGCAAGGCATACTGGGAACATGAGTTTATTTTGTGGTGCGCGTAGGTGTAGAATGTTGGGATTAGAGGCTACAGAAAGACTTCATTTCCCATCGGCCTTTGCAGCGCGCTTGGAGTTGCCCCCGCACGTTGCGTAGTGCATTTTGTGTGAGCAAACCGTCCGTCAGCTGTTCCCTTAAAGCCGGCTGGTCTGTAGGAGGAAAACACCGGAAAACGTGAGCTTGTACTTTCAGAACAAGACGAAATCATACTGATACACTCATTCGGAAATTTAGTTTAATTGGTAATGCTGGTATTATTCCGTCGCTTCTAGCCTATGCCTACTTCAGTTAGGCGTCCCAGCTGTGAGTAAGCAACTCAAAGCGCGCACTTTGTTACATTGTGTTTAGCGTAAAAGGTTGAAACCGGAAGTCATGTATTTCTTTCCACCGCCTTGGCTCTGGTAAGTTTGCTGCGGAGCTGTCGACGGTATAAGCCGGGGGAGAGGCGAAGGAACAGGAGCGCCTCAGCGATGGAGCATTTCTAAAGGACCAGACTCCCCCGTACAAGACCAGCGAGTTTGGAAGACTACATGACCAAAGAAGCGTGGCCAGCAACGAGAAACGCAAACGTAACAATCATGCAATTCAAATACAGACGAATTTAAGCCGAGCGCTTCTTCTTCAAGGTTAACGCCGCATCCCTCTTGTCTCACATCGGCTTGAACGTCATCTGATAGCCGGGGTAGCGATCATGTCCGTGGAAGAGCAGCAGCTGGGATATCCCGACAACATGCCCGTGTGGATGAGGGCTGAGATCGAGCGTCTCTCCCGGGAATTGACCGAGACCACGAACGAGAAGATCCAGGCGGCGGAGTACGGGCTCGCGGTGTTGGAGGAGAAGCAGCAACTCAAACAGCAATACGACGAGCTGGAGATTGAGTATGAGACCATCAGACAGGAGTTGGACCAGTTGAAAGAGGTAGGATGTGGGCACAAACGCAAGCTTTGGCTTATTAACTATTTATGTGGCTGTCATAGATGTATTTCACCAACACATGTTTAGTTTTAGTTTTGCTTTTTTCAGTGTATCATTACTTACAGACTACAAAATTAATACTATAATGGCAATCAACCTATTTATCCAAAGCTTCTGTGTTGCAAGGTCAACTTCATGATGGAAGGATAGGCATAGGCTCCCCTGTGCTGTGCTGCGCCCCCCTCCTCTGGCTGAGGGTATCCCCCACACTGCCACCTATTATTTATTTATGCAGCACCTCACCCTTTCCTTGCCTTTCAGTTTGTAGTCCATGCTTATTTTATACATATCACCACTTTGAAACGTGACTATTGTATTACTATGATTTTTTATATAATAGGCTATGTAAATACAGTTGATTTCACTCAGTGTGGTAATGTAATTTTCTGTTAGTGAATCGTCTTCAGATGTGAGGAACTGGTTAATTTCACAGAGGCGGGAGCTTGTTTGAAATTTAAACATTCCCGCTCGGCAGAGAAGTTGGAACGGAAACCAGATGAGTAACGACCCTTTGGGAATGGAAAGAATGTGTGGAGAGATAAAAGAAGTTTGTTAAAGGCAGAAACAGTGGCCTGGCTTGTCCTGTCCCTGTCATCTGATTTCAATATATTGCAGTGGAGCTTGTGACTGGGGTTGACATGAGGTTTTATTCACGAGTTTGCTATTATTATCTGTATATTGACAAATGTATTTAGTCATTCTCTTCTCACATCCTCCTCTGTGTTGGTTCCTCCTGCACGCTTCAGCTGTCTTACCATGGGGGCTGTATATTTTTGGCAAGAGCCTTTTTTGCTTTTCCAGAATTCTGCTTGTCTTTCCTACTGTGATTTTAGTTAAGTCAAATACTGGAGGGCATTCAACTCTTGCGGTCTTGACTGCTTGTTTGTGCAGAGTTGAGACTTAGGCTGTGTTACCAGTTCTTGCACACTTTTCCCATGCATTTCTTTGCTAGAGAGACCCTCCCGGGCTTTCAATGGAATGAATACACAAGCTAGTAAAAGGGAAATAAACTTTGCAAGCTATAACCCATGCTCTCTAAATCAAAGACGTATTTTCCTTTTAATCAAAGTCTTCAATAGAGATACCCATGTGTGCTTTTTATTATAGTGCACAAGCAAATCTGAATGGGCAGTAAACTCAGTTGTTTGCAGAGCTGTGGCAGAAGTTCATTCCTTTACCATGAGGTCGAGGAGTGGGTTATACTGGCTGTAGATCACCAGTGAGATGTCTCCTTTGAAAAGCCATAGAAATGTGCCTTTATCACTCCTCTCAGCCCTGAAATCTGTTTGGGCCTGTCAGGAAAACGTGATCCTATCAGCTGGAATACACATTCTTCCAGCATCCCCCATGGCTTCCTTTGTTATATCTAGAGGAAAACAGGAGGTCATAGGGAGCAGATAAACTACAAATGTGATGCGTACGCTAAAATTAAATGCTGTTGTGCTGAGTTTTTAACATATGTGCTTTTTAATGATATCTAAGACAAACAGTGAATTGGGCAAAGTTAGGGAAATTAATTTCAATGGATTTGGCAGAAGATTGGCAAATCTGCTGAGTAGTTGGATTCTCTTCATTGCATCTCTGCTGGGGGAGCACAAAAGGCGAAAATAATGAGACTTTATCTCTTTGTGTCTAATCATTTTGAATGGTGATTTTAGAGGTTTGGAGATGCTTTGTTACAACATTTTTATTGTCATAATACATTTTCTTATTAAGTTGTATTGTTCAAATATAATTTAAATGAGATCAGATTTAACTCTAAATCAGATGGAAACACATGATATTATATTACAATATAATAATTTTTCTTAGATATAAGTGATGGTGCGTATAGTATCACAGTAATGATTTGAAATACTTTGGTCTTCAGTCAAACTCTGTGCCCCAAGACTCCATATGACATTCACTACAGCAGGTAAGCCCCTGTGACTCACACTCAAGCCCTTTGAACCCCAGCATAACCTCCCCTTTAATGATTATAATGATTAGCAGTCACAGACTAGTCCATAGCAGCACTGGTGGAAAGGGCACTAATATTAACCTACACATAGCGGAAGATGGAGGATTTCTGTGCGCGTTGTTGCTTGGTAACGGCACAGCTCCGTGAGCTGTCGTTCCAGGCTGCTTCTTCAACTATCGCTGCAAATTGCCATGTGCTAACTGATGAATGCAGATATTTTCATTGACAAAACTAAATGTGCTGTAGTTGTTATATATAATAACATATGAATTTGAGTTTTTCAACTGATTTTTTTCACAGTTACGTTGCTAATCCAGGAGGGAAGTTTAAATCAGATTTTTTTTTTTTCAAGTTAGAACGCTTTCTTTGAAACGGTTATTTGTGTCATTTTATTTAGACCATAAACTAGGCGTGTTGTGCACTGTTATCAGGTTAACTGGCAGGTGACAAAGTCTAGGCACAGTCACGAGCTAAGCAGCTAAAGACATTACTGTTCAGGCATAAGAGTGATTCTCTCTGAGCTAAGCCCCTCACAGGTGACATCACGCACCACACCTCCAGCTGTTCACACTACACTAGGGTGTGCTTCACATCCACAGCATCTCAATCTCTTACAGACTCCAGGTTTATTTTTGGGCTGGTGCCTGGGACCGCACAGGAGCCGTTTACACTTGCATACCACCATGTTTCTAGCCTGTCCGCATCCAGGCAGCTGCGTTCCTGGTTGTGGAATTCTAACAGACAATCAGCTCCCTAAATATTGTTAAGCTCAGTCAAACCTCCCATCTCTGTGCTCCGAGGGGAGGGTCATTGTTGGCCTGAGCCCAGCGGGGTTAACAGGTCTTGGGTGTCACCGTTGTAGCGGGTTAAACGCCATCAGTACATAGTGTTTGACAAAGCAGAGATTGAGAGAGGCGTCCCATTGTAGTACCATTTGAAAGGATTGGTCACTTTTGTTCTTGTTAAAACAGCAGATCACAAAAGGATATATGACAGTGTACGTAACAAAGATTTCAGGCGTAACTTTAAGCCCTTTATGCTTAATTCTGATTGAACTTTGATAGAACTACTGCTGATAAAGTGTAAAATATTTTGTCAAATGCACCATACGCCTGAAGTTAAATGGTAATCGTTTTCTAAATGGCACTAAATAAAGCCTCAAATCCCCTCCCTTCTGAGTATAAGAGGATGAATTCCAGTTGCAACGCTCCGGCTTATGAAGACATGAGATCTCCTGGACCAGCCCTGCTCTGGTATGCCTCGTCAGGGACCCTAATATGCATTTTGGGCAATTCTACACTCATGAACTGACATAAATAGCATGATTATTGTATACTGAGCTGGATAGTTATTGTTAATAAGCAAAACTTATTGTCTATTTGCCGATGTAAAAAGGCAAGTAGTAAGGCTTTGAGGTAATTAAGATAACATCTTCACTGAAATGATTTCAAAGATAGCCTTAAATAAATGTCACCGATTCAACTGCTTAGCGTTAGTGGACATCAATACTTGTATCGACGGTAAACTATTTGGAAGTTTTAAGTTGAAGGCTTTTGCTATTGCCAAATTATGCTGACATCTGGATTTTAGTGGCTGGAAGTGAAAAACTATAATATAAACTATACGTGTATAATAGAACTGTTTGCATTATTAACTTTTGAAGGTAAACTATATTTATTCATGATTTTGTTGAACTTTCATGACTTGAGATAAGAGCCCTCAGCAAGTTGCTCCAGCATCTATTACAGATGGTTTTTACACATAGACAGAGCATTGTGTTGTTGTACCTTCCGTCTATTGATTTAACTATTGCATAGACATCGTGCGTCATTATGCTGCACGGTTAGTTACTTCACTGAATATCACACAGTTTTGTCTGGTATTTACTAGCGTGTCTGTCTATGTTGATGTTTGGTTGTGTAGTAGCAGTATGGAAGCCTAGCAGGGCCATGATTTAGACAATGTAATCCAATTAGAAAAGCCAGGGGCCAGATCAGGCAGGAGTCCAGGCTATAAGCAGAGCCTGAGGTAATCACTACAGCAAGGAACCTGGCGGTTGCAAATTCATTATATTGTTATGCTTAGACATTGTTCTTTTGCTAGTATGTCGCATTAAAAAGGCACAGCTAACATTGTTGTTACATTTACAAATTTGTGCTAATTAATATGCATGCCCACAACTGAAACTGTACACATTTTTTAATTTAATATATTACAGTGACGTCTTCTGTTAGTTTTGACTATGTGGGCTCAGAGCTCTTGTATAAGCCAGTGAATCATCTCCCTTAGCTAAAACCTGGATTTAGGGTTTCTTGTTTAAAGTACTTTTCTCATTTCTACAATAAACTTCATAGCCTTTTTAGGCTTCTATCATACTGCATACATACCCTGTATTTTCTCTGTAAATCACCATGTTATCTGCACAACCTGTTCATGCGCATGACAAGCAAGTCCTGATATGATCCTTTCTTATGACTTGGGATAATTAATGTTTGTGTTTACAATGGCTGGAAAGAGAGAGACCTCCTCAGACTTCCTCCTATTGTGCTGGAGTCAGTTTTATATAGCTAGCATCCTGTTTACAGTTGAGGGCATTTACATCAGATGGGAAGGATATGATGTACTCTCCGGAAATCTCGCTATAGGCATGAGAAAGGAAGATTCAGCATTTATTCATCATTTAAATCAATAAGTTATGTTTTTAATAAAGAAAAATAAGGTTTCATAATGTATCATGTATCAAACGAAGTTATTTCTGTAGGCAAAAGGTAATTCATTTGCCTAAGGCTATATAAGCATGTCTTAAAGAAGATACACTTATTAGCATATATGACAAAAGAGTTTCTTGTGGTAGTAATAAATGAACAGATGGTGGGTGCCGCGACCCCCTCTCCACACAGTCACGTGCACTCCATCAAAGCTGTTTGCTCATGTATGTCATTTCTTACATCTGGTAGCAGTTGAACCTCTGAGCAAGAAGTCT